TTAGTTTTTTAAGTTCCCTGAATATTCTGGTTATCAGTCCTTTGTCTGATGTATAGTTGGCAAATATTTTCTCCCACTCTGTGGGTGTGAGAACAGCCATCTTTGCAGATGAGGAAGGACATGGAGCCTCCTGGGAAGCCGACTGGGCTCCCGATCTGCAGAATGAGAGGTGATGAGTTTGTGCGGGTCAAAGTGTGGGTATGAGGTTGTCACCACAGTGTGGGAGGCTGGCACACAGGACAAACCAGCTCTCAGTGACAGCGAGTGAGTTGTTGGCCAGTAACGCCCAGACCCATGTCCACGGTAGCCCTCACCTGAAGCCATCTGGCACAGCCATAGAAAGTGGTCATAAAAACTCCTATCTCTCGTCAGGCCGCCTGCTGCTCTCACAACGGAGACAGGAAAATGAATGGATGGTTTGGTGTGGCCCAGGAAGCCACCTCCTGACCACACAAGGCCCTGAAGGCACAGCCCGGTCGGTTAGTTGCACTTCTGCATCTGATGGACTCAATGCTGACGGTGTGTAGGCGGTGCTGGGCTGTGTTCCCCGGACCATGCGGGGCACATGCCTTCCTCAGCAGGGTGCCCTCTGGTTCCCTCCACCCCACCCTGGCACCATGTGCACAGAGCATCCATCTGGTAGCCTAGAGTGAGGCCCAGGGCCTCTCAAAAGGACCAACACCTCCCTCACTCTTCTGGTCCTGCACCTGAACTGCAGAGGCACAGGCACCATGCAGCCATGTTTCCCTGGCAGTTTGGTCATGGGAGCATCTGAAGCAGATGTGTCTTCTGCCTCTTTCCTGAGACTTCACCTCGCTATCATTCCTCCTCCCTGCTACAGACGTGACTTGTTCTCTCGGGTTACTTGGACATTCTTGAACCTCCCCATTGCGGTCTGGGTTAATTGGGAAGTTTTCTGCCACATTTTCTTCGTTTACTTTTACAGAAGCCTGCTATTGGTACCAACTGGGGGAGGATCTTGTTCTCAGGTAGCTAAAGGTCAGAGGTATAGGTCCCCATCAAATGCCAGGACATCAAAGATGGCACCTCTGCCCTCCCTCCCATCCTCAAAGAAGAATTAATCTCCTTGGTCCACACAACACACAGGCCAGGATTTTCTTCTGGTAATGTAACCATTCTCAACAAAATACAAAGACCATTTGAGCCTCTGACCCACTTAGAATCTTAGCTCCTGGGAAGCTGGTGAACCACCTCAAGCACCAACGTACAAGACCAAGACGTGATCACAGCATTTTGGGTGACTGTTGCCACTGTGCAATGTCTGTGGTGTATTTGGCGCAGAGAATCCAAACCTTGGCCCCTTTGTCTGATTGACGGCTCACTGACAGGTATTGGAGTGGAACCATCTTGGTTGTAGGAAGGTTTTCTGAACATGGTGCCCGGCCTGTCCACCAGTTTGCCCAAACTGAGTCTTGCATGACGATCTAGGCGGCTTTATGGCTTTTCTTCTCCAAGGCTTGATGACCTTGACAGCTTGTGCCAAGTATTTCCCAGAGGCTAATCACAAGCGAAGCCCTGCTGCCTGATCACGGAGGAAGGAAGCTTGCAGAGGAAGGATGAGTGGGCCTTCTTCCCACCGAGCACCCAGCTCTTCAGGGCAGGCATGTTTTATGAACCGTTGTTCATCTCATGTTCCCAGGTCTGTGAGAGTCACATCTGTTTAGTGTGTCAGATCTCAGAACAAAGGTGCATAACAATAATCCTTTGCCTCAACTATGACAAGTCTAATCAAAGTCACCTCCACGTGTCATTGCCTGGGATCATTAGACCAGTGTTAGCCTCTGGCTTGCTGAGGGTGGTGGGCAATCTCGAGCTGTTTTGCTGTAATCAACCATTGATCGAACCTCACATTCAGAGAGGTAATGTGGCTACTGACATTCGTTGAACAGATCCAGTGCGTGAAAATCTCCATAGAGGACAGAGCCTGATCTCCAGAAGCAAGTCAGTCTCACAGAATCTCATTGAACAGCCACACAAGTAAAGAGCATGGCACCCAGCAGTGCAAATGAGCTGTTAGACTTTAACAGAGACTGAGACAGCTGAGAGCCAGGAGCTTCATGTGGCACACGTGATGAGAGAAGTTCCTGGAAGTGTCAGCAGTGAACAGTGAACTTATGAGTTGCCGTTCGTGTTTTAAAGACTGCAGCATAAGGACATGTGCCTGAAGCTGGACAGTCATCAGAATGAGCAGATCGGAACAGGTTCCCAAGGAACGGCAGCACAGAGGAGGGGCCCTGTGAGGAGATGGCTTGCATGCAGTTCCAGTATTCTGCAGTATGATATGCAGAACAGGAAGTAAGAAAATGCTACCTGAGAGATCCATGGTACCAGCCTGAGAAGGCTTGATTGCTTCTAAATCGTGCTCATGGTGGGCACAGAAGATATAAACATGCACTGTTATGACTAAGCTGTAATGGAAAGTCCCAACCAGTGCTTTCATAATGTGCATCTCCCAGGTTTTAAACTGGTAATTAATCATTGAAGAAATTCTGGGCTTTGTCCTCTGTGGCGATTATGAAATCATTGTTATATTTACTGAGAATACAATGTGTCATAAGTACACTTTGCCAACTCAGTGGGCTTCAGTCACTCAGGTGGCCAAAAGGGAAGTGGCACGGCTGACTCTATTTCGAAAGATGTGTGGCCAGTTCTGTGACATTTGTCCATGGTGTGACAGGTAGTATGCAAGCTTCACAGAGAGTGGCACGATAACTGGACCCCAATTTTTCATCTCACTGAGACATCCAGATTTAGGGAGCATTCTCTCCTCTCTGCTGCCCGAGCCACAGCCATCTTGGTGTGGAGAAGTGGTGGCCAGTCTCTGAGCTGGCCCTCCTGGGGCACCTCCCCAACCCCGCACTGGCATTTGTTCCAACCGCACAACCCCTAAAGCTGGGGAGCTTCGGGCTATAGTTTTTTTTTTTCTTCCCTGTCCCCACCCCTCACAACCCTGCTCTTTGTAAAGGTTTCTCATTAGGAGGGGGTTCAGTTTTCCAGGAGGTACGGTGCCTATAGTTGGTATGTTTGAGGAATTACATGAGTTGGGGGTCTTGTTAGTGACCTGGGAATTCTTTGGAAGCAATAAGAAGCCCAGTTCTCCATTACAGAGTCCTGTGTGGGCTGCAACAGGCTGATGCACAGACCCAAGAGAGGAGGCCTCTTGCTTTGATGGTCCATGCAGCACCACCTTGTGAAACTGGGCTTCCTCGTTTTAGGGGCAGTGTTTGCAGGGTGTTAGGGTGTCAGAGTTGACCAGTGTTTTCTAATGAATTTTACTTCATGTCAGAATGTAACTCAACTCTCTCAGTAAATTGTGTGCGAGGAAAGGCCATGGAGTCAGGGGTTTCTTATATCATACGTGCATTATGGCAGCTCCCATCACGAATATCTTCACAACCAAATGGCACCTGGGCACGTGCATACAGTCCCGTCCCCAGCTGTTTCCTCTCCAATTTTGTCTCCAATGGAAAGCCCATTCATATCCTAACCCGGCTGGGTGGTCTCCAGCCTGTTAGTGCCCTGGTCCCTTACTGCCAACTTTCCACTTTAACCTATTATAAAACTGAACATTTCCCCTGCTCGAGAATCTGTTATTTAAAAAAATTAAGATCTCCAAGAGAAATAAAAGCAGTCCTCAAGCCTCCACTGCCTTCTGGAAATTGGAGAAACTAGCCAGAGTCTGAGGAAAGCTTACCACCTGAAAACCTGACTTATAAGCACAGAAGAAAGAAGAAAAGACGTAGATGATGGTGTGGGCTCTCCAAACTGGCGTTCGCCGGGCAAAGAGGACAAAGCTGGCCCCTAGAGGAGCAGGAGGAAGGCGTCTCCCGGGCCCCCTGTCATGGAGCAAGGTCTGATGCAGTCGCCTCCCCTGGACTTCCTCCCCTCCTGGAGGAAGTTCCTGGATGGACTCAAGGAGAGAGGGTCAAGCAAAGCGAAGGCAGTTAGTGCAGACCAGAGGCAGAGACTCCATATCGGATGCCATGTCTCCAAAACAGGCCTGACCCCCACTGCTGATCTGGCCTCGGCATCAAACTGTTTTGCCTGTGCAGGTGCAGGACACATCTTCATGTTGTTGAGTCTCCACTGCTTGTTTCTCCTCTGTCCCCTCTCTAGCTGTGTTTTTGTGGGTCTTACTTTCCTTTTGAAACTAAATTCTGTGATAGAGAGTGAACAATATCAAAATGCATAACATCTGTGTACATAGAGGATACCACGATAGGCACTGAAAGCTGTTGAGTAATGAGAGGTGGGAGGGAAGGGTAAGGGAGAGTAAGGATGGGGGGTTGACTGACTTTAACAGCTGGGATACACTGACTTTAAAAGACAGGATATAAAGTAGGTACGGGGTGGGGGGACCTAGTGGGAGGGGGAGGGTAACAAAGAAGATTACAGTGAGGGAATATGGTTGATGGACTTCATATTCCTAATATGAAATAGAACAATGAAACCTCTCACAACCACTTGAAGTGGGGCAGGAGGGGACCGAGGGAGCGGGGGAGATGGAGGGGTGATCTAACCAGTGTACAAGGTAAGGCCATTCAGAATTGTCACAATGAACCTCCCTGTGTAATGAATATATCCGAACAATGACACTAAATTCTAGTAACACTGGGAATTAACCATTTATGGACTACAGAACTTTGTGGTTTGGCTGATGGCCTGGTGGTTAATATTCACGTCTGTATTTATTTTATCTATGTGACAAATGCTAGCTATTTAAAGGCAAACTGTGATACTTGAGCTTTACATAAGAAAACTAAATTCTGCCAGATGAGGACTTTGTACCACTGCCTCACTTCTGTCGATGATTCTTATGCCAAAGGTCACCATGGCGGAGAGAAGGGGCATCCAAGGGGCCTGAGCAACCCGGGAGGGAGCCCAAAAGGGAGCTGGAGCGCGGGCAGCCCCTTCCTCTCTCCCACAGGGTAGAGAAGGGCTGTGTGGAAGTCTAACCTCTGCTCTCGGCTTGGTTACAGATGACCACTCCAGGATCCTGCTGAAATGGGAAAACAGCCACAGCAGCTCAGACTACATCAACGCCAGCCCCATCGTAAGTACCCAGCCCTCGGGGAAGGTTGGCCCCAGGCTGTTCCTCAGGTGGTAAGGGTGTGCGTCGCCATGAAGAAGGTTCTCAGTGCCTGCCTGGGTCCTGAGCTGCAGAAGGCTGTCACCAAGTGGACTGGCCACCTCTGTCCCAGGCTTCCTGCCCTTCCACCAGGCAGGACACAGAGTGACCTGGTGTTCCGGTTGGGTTAGAGGGCCAAACCTCCTTGCAGGACCTCCAGCAATGGTGACTAGAAGGACTTGTGACTGGAGCCCATGACTAGGAACAATTTGTACTCAAAGTGTTTCCTCTGTGGCCAGGAGAAGGACACCAGATCCAAACTTGAGTTTTTAACAATCGATGGCCCTGAGGCAGGTCCATCCTGTAGGCTGGCCTCCTTCGGGTGTTTCTGGCAGGGGGATTCTCCCTTTTAATAAAGAGTAAGTGTCTGGGGAGGAGTGGGGAGGAGACGGGTTCCGTGTCTGGGGACTGTGCCCCTGTGTCCAGCCCCTGCAGGGCCCCTCACCCCATGCACTCCTGCACTGACTCTGACTTTGGGCACTGCCTGAATGCTCTCCCTATCTCAAGCCTTGAGGGAACAGGTGGCAGAAAGGGAAAAGTCAGAGCCAACTGAGGGCCAACAAAGAAGGGAGGAAAACTAGTGGCCAGGGAGCCAAAAAGCTGGGCTTCATTTGGAGGCTCAGGCCGGCTTCCCAAGTGGGCTAGAATGACTTGGTGGGGAGAGAGGAAGGAGAGGCCATCCAAAGCCAGAGGCTGATGGCATTTTAAACCAGCTGTAGAAGGAGGTGAGGGCGTGGTGTAGATTTAGGACAGGTGTTAACATTTCCCCTCTCAACAGTTTTTCTCAGCTCAGGTCTTTAGGGGAGCATCAGGAACCTCCCTGAAATTCCAGGTTCACATCCACCACACACAGGGCCTGCAGGCCACGGTGTGTTCCATTGAGATCCCTATAACTTCAAGGACTGAGAATGCAGGGTCATTCCCCAGGTCATAATCACACCCACGTGGCCTGCAGCCCTTTTCACCCTTCACGAAAAGCTCTCAAGAGACAACGTGACTACAGAAGCCCAGTGGCTTCTTACAGCAGACAGCACTCACAGTGCCTTTGGATAAAATTATAACGAAGACTCCAACATGCTGTGACCAATCCCATTTCCCAACCTCCACAGCCCACAGGAAGAGCACACTGAGCTTTGAGAAGTGAATTCAGAGTGAAGAGCTGGGTGTGTGCCGTTAGGGGTGACTTCTTTACGTCCAGCAGATGTGGGCATTAAAGATTGGGTCCATCTGTTCTCAAAGGTCCTCGTTGAGAACCACTCAATTACTCTTTCACAATCGGGGTAATTCCAAGCCCCATGGCACAGCCTCACTGACTGACAATGTTCATTCATGGCCAGAGCACCCTTTCTGGCCAAGTCAGTTTGTGACTGCCTGGATTTGTCCCTGTCAGATGGGTGATAGTGATGGCCACTCGGAACTGTGTAAAGAGAGAGAAAGGCCATTTTCTTCCTGTCGTGGTCCCTTTCTCCTGGAATGAGCCAGATGACAAGGCTGGAATAGAAGCAACACTGTCATTTTCAAGTCCAGGAGATGAGAGCCCGTGCCAGGGCAAGCTCAGCTCTCCCTCATGGTGGGTTCCAACATCAGGTGGCAGAGGTGGTCCAGGCTGAAGTCCAGGCTCAGTGTGGACACAGCACTATCCACCGAAGCAAAGGCAGCTTCTGCACTCACAGGACAGAGAGGGTGTCAGGGGAGAGAATTCTTACACCTGTGCGATTTCGGCCCTCTCCCCTTAGTGCAAGTTCAGGGTGACCTCCCAGGCCTGGATGGCCAGGGACTCAGTACAAAGAAGTAATTTTATAGCACCTTCTATGTTTTCTCTTCATTTTATAGTAGGATTCCTTTTCCTTTTCAAATTTGGGTTGTAAGAATGAACTAGAAGAAATCCACGGTACCTCTTCTCCCTGAAATAACAGAAGGCACCATGGTAATGACCTTCCATGCAGCAGCCAGAGAGAAGTGTACAATTACAGCACCAAATGACCCTGGCTGAGCAGAATAAAGCTCTGATAATTACATCTGTCATATTCGTACTTAGTTCTCATTAAATTTCAGAGAAGTCATCCAGTAGTAAATAATGTCAATCTTTGCTTTTAAATCAGAGGTCATGAGAGTAATGGAATTCTGTCTTCCACATAGGGTCTCTGAGAGAGAAGCCCATCATCCCCATTTAAGACCTCAGCTGTGTTATTCTCAAGGACATCAGGCTGAGGGGACCATACTCAACCAGGGTGCAGACCAAGCACCCAGGTTTGTGACCAGGAAACGCCTGAGATTCCCACTGACACTGAAAAGCAAGCTTAATTATCCACTGTTTATTAAAAGAGCAAAAGTGTCTAACGTTTCAGGTTGAATGCATTTAGCTAGTTGCATTAGGACAGAGTGGCTCCTAAGAAAAGGGTGGCAGCTGGTGTCCTGAGTGTCCTAAGAAACTGGACAAGTTTGGGAACCAATTCTTTGGTTCTCAGAAAATATTTACAACCAATTATATCTGAGTGTATAATTTCAGTTTACATTCAGAAGTAGCTTAAATAAACGTCTACTTACAAGAATAAATTATGCAGATGACACAGGCTCACAAGCCACTCTCTCACTGCTAAGGAAATCTCTGTATTATCACTTGGCATGGGGACCTGTCAACCCAGGTCCAGTGTTTGATTTTAGGGAAGCATTCAGTGAAATGTGCTTTAAATCTTAGGAAAAGCAGGTCAGGGGGACAGACCAGAATGTGTATGGTACGACACACATTCACTGCATGTAAGAGTCCCCGTCAAGGACTGGACCGCCACACCCTCCCCAAGGCTGACCAGCTCTTCCTGAGACTTTGGGCCAAGGCTCATGGAGGCTGAAAGCCATCATTCCTTCCTCAGCAGGTCCAGCAGGGCCCTCGCTCCTCCTCACTCCCCTCAAAATAAGGGTATGTGGTCTTGGAAGGCCAGATGCTTTATTTTTAAAAATCAGTTTTGCTTGGAATACTGGGGAAATTATTGGTGGGGTGTTTAACACAGTTTCTAAGGATGAAACTAGTCATGCTTACTAAATGATCGCCATCCCACTGCTCACAGCAAATCACTAGCTTGTTTTTCAAACCATGCATTCAGTAAACCCACAGGCATGTACCTTTCTTGTTCCCCATTTCCTGTGATACCGGCCTGAGAGTCAGTCCACCAAGGGATAATAGATTCAGCACAAATGGTTTTCCTTTAAAAAAAAAAAAAAAAAAAAACAGCACAAGCAACCTTGTTCTGTTGGTTATACTTGGGTTCTGGTATCTTCTGACGGCTGATTTTCATGAGCTCACTTGATTGAGTCACCTTGGATGCCTGTGACATTGGCCTCTCTGAGTAGGCTGTGTCTCCACCGAAGCCCCCACAGGGAGACAGGGTTTGATAGCCACCCCCACCCTGCCAGTGCCCAGCCCCTCGGCTCCATGGGAAGCTCAGTGTGTGCTCCTGGTGTGGACTCTTCTTGTCCTTGCTCAAGAAGCTGGTGTCCACCTGAACACACTTGCAGGGTTCACTGCAGGGTTATTGGTGACTCACGTGTATACATAGACAAGTCTGCACACAAATGTGCCTGTGGAATTCCAGAGGTAAAAGGCACAGAGAGGTAATAGTGCCCAGTGTCTCCACTGCCTGTAACCCCACTTGTACAGACCGAGACCCAGAAAGGGTCTTTTCACAGGCACGCAGTTTGTGTATGGGAACCTAACACTCGTTCAGCTGAAAAGTAGACTGAAGAGTAACGGAAAATAATGGGGAAGAGAAGGGGAAAGTGGGGCACTAGGTCAGAAGATGAGTCCTCAGCAGGAAGAGGGAGGAGACTGACCTGCCCAGGGGACCTGTCTGCAGATGGCCTTCCTAGAGAAAGCCATGTTTGCAGACACTCATCCGACTTCTGGAATGCAGACATGCATCCCAGGTGTGGTAAAACTGCCATCTGTGTGTGCAGCCAAACACTCACTCACTCCCACCCACGACACAGAACCAGGGTGGCGTTCTTGCCTCATGTTTGCCCAGCAATGCTTCTGCACAGGCACCTTCTCAGAAGAATGCCACGACTGTCCCCACTGCTGTCACCTGCCACCATGCCCCCCACTCGGTGACCCTGTGTGTGCCACCATCCCTTCCTGGAGCAGGAGCCTTAGGGGAGGGCACATCGCCCAGCATCCCATCCCTGTCCCTGCTTTTCTTTGCTCCTGCCATGTGCTGAAGCAGTCTGGCAGGTTTAAGGAGCTTTTAAAACTCCACAGTTAGGACCTATCACAAAAGTGATGTGTTTGCCCTCCTGAAACACTATCCAGATTTTTACTTTTAATCATGAATTTCTCATTTTGAAAAGCAGATGAATTGCTCGTTTAAACATGATTGGGATTTTCAAATTAGATGTGTTGCTGTGGGTAAAAAGAAAGCACGTCTGAGAAAGAAGTGGGGTGTCCTTTATGGTAACGAGTCGCAGGGAAAAGATGGGGCTCTCTGTAAATAGCTGTCACCCCAGCAAATGCATATTTTTAAAAAAAATCAAAACTCCTTATTTCTGCTCCGTGTTTTTCTACTGAAACATTTTAATTGGGGCTTTCAGTGTGAGTAACATAATTTTACCTGCATTGTGTGTGTTGCGGCGAATTTCAAAAGGAGGTCCAGTTTTAATTACAAATCACTAAATTAGATGCACTAAAGGCTTTCTCCCTGATCCCACAGCCCCCAACTCCTATCATATGGCCGCTGTGTTAGAATAACTTACGCGGCTCCTTTTGTGCTTCTTCTTTCATGGTGTACGTAATTGCAAGGTGCGTTCGACAGCCAGTCGATCCCCGTGAGTGCTGAGGGCTGTGCGCCGCCTCTGGGGCTGTGTCAGCACGGCTTAAGGTGTCCCCGGGATGTTCCACTGCTGTCCTCATGCCCCAGCTTGGAGTTACATATGGTTAAAACGTTCTCATTTTTCACTGTGCTGAGAAAGGTATTAATGTATTATTAATTACCTTAAATACAGAGCATTTCACACTTTTAGTCAAATCCCGATGGCCACAGAGTGAATGCCAGCCCTCATCGGGTGGAATCAGGGACAGGATGGGTCTCAGTGAGCAGCTGTCTTGCCCAGAAGCCTGTTCCTCTGCTCAGCCTCCCACTGTCTGCTGGGGCTGGGCTTTGGGGTCCCTTTTGGAAGGGGCAGAGTTACTCTGTAATTTGGGGGGCAGTGATGCCCAGGTGTCCCCTGTCCTTGACAGGGTAGCCGGGGCTTGCCCTGGGCAGAACCTACGCACCTGCCCGCCCTCCATGGTTGCTTCCACACTGTTCACATCGCAAGGCTTTGTCCTCGAGTTCTTTTATTCCCTCCCTGCATAGGGAGCCTTTGAATTAAATGTTATAATTAAGTCTTTTAAGATGGACTTCCCCTATGGGAACAGCAGGCTGCATGCGGCCAAATCAACTAGCCAGAAAGACCTCAACTGCTTTCTTCTTTGTTCTCAGTCCCTCTTCAGTGGGGAAGAAACCCAGTGGGAAATGGGCTTCTGGAAGGCCAGCCCACATCTGTGAAATGACCCCAAGCCAGGCTGCTGACTGCCTGAGCCTCCTCCCAAGATGAACAGAACCAGCCCCCACGAGAAGCCAGCTCCCCAAGAAAGCTGGGTGCCATTCATTCATTCTCTCTCCCAAGGCTCTGGCTAACGCTTAGGCCTGGCCTCTCCCCAGCCAGCACCTGATTCTCCCAGGCTGATGTAGCCTGGGGTGGGCAGGAGGCTGTCCACACTGGAACAGATCCTGAGCTGCTCTGGGCCCATGTGCACTCTAGACAGCATTGCCTATCCTGCCTGGGCTGCCCGGCCCGCCAAGCACCGGGGCTAACAGCTTGCCACCTGGTCATCCCGGACTCCTGGTCTTCATTTCTATGGATGCCACTCCTAGATCCTCACTATCAGGTTAAGAAAAGCGTTTTGAGCGTGATTGGTCTTCCAGGGCCCTGCCGGTCTCTGGGCACTGGCTTGAATCAGATGGTGAAGGGGTTTTCTCGCTGTGCTATGCTCTTGTGAGTGACGCAGGACCCCTGGTCCTCTGCAGGCCTCACTTGTGCTGATGCTTGCTGCTGTACTCTTGTCTCCACAGATGGACCATGACCCAAAGAATCCCGCGTACATCGCCACCCAGGGACCACTTCCCTCTACTGTGGCCGACTTCTGGCAGGTGAATCTTTTTAACTAAAATTTCTTTTCTGGAAATAAAATCTTAATACATTGACCATGAGTCATACCTTGAATTCTGTTGAGCCATTTCAAACTTCTTTACAATTATTCTTCAAATGTTACTTGATTCTAGAATCCATGTGAGTCCTTTAATATTTTTATCATCAGTCTTTTTCAAATTTGAGTATGAAAACTTTGAGTGACTTAATGCTTTAAAGATCTTTACTTTCAGCTACTTTATAATTTAATTTTATAAAATATCAGGAAATAGCATTAATACATGTTTAGATTACTATATTTATTCAAATGTTCTCTCATCTCTTGTTCTAGCGCTCTGTGTATGTGTGTGTGTGGTACTGGGGTTTAAATTCAAGGCTACTCCACCAGCCCTTTTTTGTGATGGGTTTTTCAAACTATTCACCGGGGGCCGGCTTTGAACCATCACCTTCCTGATCTCTGCCTCCTGAATGGCTAGGATTATAGCCGGAGCCACTGGCGCCTGGCAGTTGTTTTATTCTTGTGAAGATAAAAATCATGCTCAAATTCTAGTTTATTGTCTTTATTCTCCAAAATGTATTTGAGTATTTGGTCTTTTCGTCCATCAGAGTCCTGATTCACTCAGACCAGCACAGTGGTGTTGAGAACAAAAGTTAACATTCGCAAAGAAGAGCCAAATTAGAGCCCAGGAGTGGTGGGTCATGCCTGTAATCCTAGCTACTTGGGAGGTGGAGATTGGAAGGAAGGATCACAATTTTAGGACAGCCCAGACAAAATGTCTGTGAGATACCATCTCATCCAATAAAAAATCTGGGCATGGCAGCACACACCTGCCATCCTAGCCATTCGGGTAAGCACAAATAGGAAGATCAAGGTCCAGGTCCGCCCAGACATAAAAGCAAGACCCCATTCAAAAAATTAACGAATGTCAAAAGGGCTGGGGGAAGGCTCAAGTGGTAGACCACCTGCCTCGCAAGTGCAAGGCCCTGAGTTCAAACTCCAGTACCTCCACCACCAAAAAAAAAAAAATTAGATGGGCAGAGGTTTCCCCTTTTTCATTTCCCTGACACAGCCCAATATGAGTGGGTTTTGGAAGTGGCACATGGGTTTCCCATGGGGGCATGGCTTCTCTGACACTTGCTGGACACAGCAGGTGTCCCTGGACAAAGGTGCTGGTATGGCACCTTTGGATGGAGTGGATGAGTCCCTGTTGTCTACAGCACAGGTAATCAAGCGACAGCCGTGGGTTTGAACCTCACGAGAGGTGATACAATTTTCTAATCTAGTAATTCATAAAAGAAATAGACTAACTGTCTAAAGGTCAGTCAATTCACTTACATTCCAGACTTTTTTCATTTCCCTTGCCCAACTTTCCAGTCCACCCTCTCCTGACTGACAGCACCTAAAGATAGGAAATACTCCTCTTACCTGGGCCGGGCTCAGCAGAGGCATTCCAGAAATGTCAGGAAGAGTCTAGGATTCCCTGCAGGTCACTCAGTGCCCTCAGCCCCTGACCAAACTGATACTCAAGGGTCACCATTCCACTTTATGGACAAGACCAGTGAGTACCTGAGAGATTCCATAACTTAACCAGGAGGATAAAGCCAAGCCTTGAAACAGGTTGATATGGCTACCTGTACCTCGTGCTATGGAAAAGACAGAACTTAGCTGGATCTCAGTCACGATGACGCTTGCAATCATGGCACAGAACCATTAACCCTTGGCATGGGGGTGGTTATGAGGACACCCTGGTCCCTCCACCTTGGGGACACTTAGGTTTCCTCATTATTATACCCACAAGAGTCATCCAACCTGGGTGAGAACAGTCCACATCGTCTTGGGACAACTTCCCATGACAGGAAGTCACCCTCATGTCTTGCAAAACTATCTTCTTGAAGAGCAAACCGCTTGGCTCTGCTTTCAAAATTGCACCTGAGTCTGTTCGGTGGTGTTCACAGACTTGCACACTAACCTCAGGCTCCTCAGGCTCGGAAGAGGGAACGAGCATTCTGAATTGCATGGTGGACAAGGAACACCCACAGAGCCCCAACCTCTCTTGGTTTTCCTCTACCTGAATCCACTGTCCAAGGGTGCATGTCTATGTATGGCACCTGGGGCCCACCAAATACGGGTTCTTCCATTTTTACCAACCTCCTGCCCCGTCACCCCATCAGGCATAACACTTTCTCTGGCCAGCAGAGCCACAGCTTCTAGAGGGCTTGTCGATACTAACAGCAGGACAATTGCCCACTCCCACTGCCCACGTACCATGTGCTCAGTCCTTATTAAGTAAGGCTTTGCACGATAGCGCACACCCTTTGTAATCTGTGGGCCTTGAGGTCGTAACTGGTCCAGGTTCATGGCTAGTGAAGAGAAGGGCTCAACTGTTTTTCTTCTTGCTTATTGAAGGTAATTGCCATTGTTGGAGGTAATTTGTCTTATCAGTGTTTATGCAGGTCATATAGTGTTTTGGAGAGTTTATTGAGGCGCATATGTTCTTGAAGTGGAAAGAAAACAACTCTCAATGAAAATGCCAGAGAAAAAATTTAAAGTGAGAAGTGTGGGATCATTTGAGACACACCTCATCAGAAGTCATCAAACAGTTCTGGGAATCCCAGTGCCCCTCAAAATGCTAACAGCTATCCCAAGATGAGAAGCATTAGGGGCCCTGGGCTCTGCCCCTGGGATGTCGCTGTGAACATTAGCTCAGCAAAGCCTTACCTGTTGCACCACACGCCTTCCACCATGGTGCCGGGTTCTCACCCACAGCCATCTTGGGACTTCTACTCCCCGGGTCCACCGCTAGGAGGCGCTCACGCTGGCGTGGGAAAGCCGGGCGGGGCCAGATTGGGAGGCTGGCTCTTTAGCAGGTGCCTTTGCTGGGTGGCCCCTAAGTCGTGTATCTGAGGGTCTGCACCTGCTGAGAAGGGCTCTTCATTGGATCGTCCCTGAGGCTCCCTTTGCTGCCACTGGCTGCAAAAAAAAAAAAAAAATGGAATCCACAGAAATGTGAAAGCATTCCCAGAAATACAACTTGATTTGAAGCATGGAGCCTGCAGCTCACACCTCTACTCACTGTCTGGACTTGTGATCATTAACAAACGAGGAACTCGAACCTGGTTACAGAAAATACAAATGTGGCATTGTCCCGTGTCTGGCCATGGAGAGTTAGGATGGGTTGGCAGTGTTTTTTTGTCAATAGAGAGCAAATTCCAGTAAAAAGGGGCCCGTGTAAAGTGGAGCTAGCGAAGGAAGACTGCAGAAGGTGTCGTATTCATTTCCTGTGGCTGCCGTAACAAGTACCACAGACCAGGCAGTGCAAGGCAACAGAATTTACTCTGTCAGCTCAAGAGGCCAGAAGACCCATATTGAGGTGTTGCAGGCTGGCCCTCCTGATGCTCTGAGGGAGCCCTCTCAGGCCTCTTCCAGCTTCTGGTATTGCCCACCATCTTCGCTGTCCTCAGCTGGCAGGTGTCTGTCTCTGCCTTGCATGGCCTTCTACACTGTGTCTGTGTTTCCATGTCAGAATTTCCCTCCTAATAAAGACAGAGTCCACACTGGCCACTGTGACTGCATCTTAACCTGACAACATCTGCAAAGGTGCCATTTCCAAATGAGACCATCTTCCCGGGCCTGGCTGGACATCAGGGCACCATTCACCCCAGTACAGTGGCTAAGAGCAAGGGCCTTCCTGAGTGGCTCATGTAGCCATCCTGGCGTTGTGGCAGGGCAGTGGCCTGGCATGACTCAGCGAGGTCTGGGAGGTGGGCTGAGCAGGAGCAGGAGGAGCCCTGGGAGTCCCAATTCTTCAGGAAATGGCAAAGTCAGGAGAGTGAGGGAGCTGGAGGCTGACTGAGGGCAACTCCTCGGCTTTCACACCCACGTGGGGCATTGCCACGCCAGCCCTCCCACCTTCAGTGCAATGAAAGCTTTTGGCACCAGCTGAGCCCCCTCGGCCCTCTGAGCTGCTGAGCTCCCCACACGCCTGTCCTGGCCAGGACACAGCACACAGTGCCACCACCATGCTACTGTCCCAATGGAAAACCCGGAATGTACAAGAAAGTCACCATTGGCTTTACAAGCCGGCTCCCTTCTCTAGTAAACTCTGCTCTCTACTGATTGGGATTCTCTCCCTACACACAGAACAAGCATTTCATGAATCTAATTTCCAAAACTTTGATGTGTATTACAATTTTTTTTTCCAAAGCTAAATTTACAGGCATCCCTTGGAATCCAAGAGATTGGTTCTGGGATGCCCCACACTTGTCCCTTAAGTGACAGGAAGTAGCCATTGCACAGAACCTACATGCAATATGCAGTCCTCCCTCAGGCTTTAACTCACCTGTCCAGAACTTAGAGTGCCGAAGTCAGGGTAAGAGTACGTACCGTAGCTGTTCTGCTGTACTGTTTAGGGGCTGGTGACGAGAAAAATATCTGTACGTGTTCAATGCACAGTTTATGTGGGGATTTTTTACAAATACGTTCAATCTGTCATTGGTTAAATCCACAGATGAGAACCCGTGGATAGAGAGGGCCAACTCTGCTGTGTAAGAGCGAGTAGAGTGACATTAATGTCTTGCCCACGGCCCTCTAAGCCATCCCAAGAGAGCTGCATTCTTAGACAAGAGAGTCCTCTGAGACCAGTCCAAAGACCAGTTTTACTAGAAAGGCGTAAAGTGGCTTAGAAATAAGCCATCTTTTGGGGGGAGCGAGGCAGTCTTGAGCTACATAATTTGAAATCTTGCTTGATCATGAAGCTATTTCCTTCTCCTCAGTGTGGGCCAGACCAGATCTGGAATATTGTGTCCTGTTCTGGGACCATAGTTTCAAACCAGCTGGTGACACTGGAAAAAACGAAACCAAGAGAGTTAGTGGGAGCAGCCAGGAGGTGAGCGCTGTGAAACCATAGAAAGAAAAACCAGCAGCGCAGAAGCAGAACAGCCAGGGCCAGGGCAGAAACGCATCCTCAGCAGGGCTCTGCCTCCACTTGCTGTCCCTTGGAGG